TGTGATTTTCCCGCCTTTGTAATTGTCTGTTTTCACCTGTTTCATGTTTCCAGGACTCACGGTTGTAGCGAGACTTGCTACACAATTTTATAATACATCAGTTTTACTTTAAAAATACAGCAGAGGACACATTTTTAATGCTGAAAACCTTTTCTAAGGTTACATTGTTCAATTGTCTTATATCATATCATTGATATTTGAAAAGAAACTAAAGTTGCCAGACAAATGTAAAAAGTTCAATATCTGCCTCTGAGAAGTAGAAAGAAAATACTCAAGTACAATTTGTACTCGGTTACAGTACTCAAGTACTTCATTCAGCAGTGTTTTGTCACTAAGGTGTGCCCTGAACAAAGAGCACACACAGAAGCCCAGCCTCTTTACCAGAGCAGCTGTGACTTATAATAACTGGAACAATAAATGAAAGTGAAAGTATGAAAGAGAAACTAGGGCGAGTTGTTTGTGCTGAAGCAGCTGGCAGAAACTGACGTCCTCCTCCTTTTTTTACTTTTTCTTCAAGAAAAACACAACTGCAAACTCAGAAAAGAGAAGAAAGGCTGTTTTTCTTTGTAAGGGAAGAGCAATCTTTCTCCTTTGCTGCCTTCCTCTCCCCCACAGCACAATGCCAGACACTCAGCTGTGTTTAGAGGCCCTGTCGGCTCTCTCCGGCTGCAACGTCGAGTCCACCAGCGGACCCTCCTTGCTCACCCCGCAGGACTTTGTCAACATCGTGGCCCTCAAGCAGTTTTACAAGCAGGAAGGGTTTCAAGAGCTGGAGTACCCTAGTTTAGGGACTTTATCCCTGCAGGATCTGGACGATAAGGACATGTACAGCTCCCCACTGGCGCTGACTGAAGGCCCCGGGCCAGAAGAGAGTCTCAGACCCACGGTCAAGATCAACCCCCAGGACTTCTTCCACCCTCAGTACGACTACGACTTCACCAACATAAAGGTATGTGGCTGTAAACCTGAGGTCAGCTGACACAGGCCTTACTTATCTCACATGCTCTCTTAATTCTCTGCTTACATGTAGAATAATGATAAAATGAACTGTTAAGTAATGGACTGACATCAATAAGATGATTGTAATCACTTGTTTGGATGTAATTTCCTCATGTTGAATGCTAGTGCAGCAAGCTAACACTGAACTGCAGTGAGTGCGTGAGTGAGGAAGCGAGGAGTATAAACAGTGTCAGTACAGTTATTTAAGAGTGAGTCATCCTGTGAGCGAGTGAATAAGGGGGTGAAAGAGCACATGAGCAAGGTGGCTGAGTAAATATAACCTATAAGTGTGTGAGTGAGTTAATGAATGGCTGAGTTTAGACAGCTCACTCCTTTATGTTCAGCTTGTTGTCTGCAGGGAGGAACTGTGTCTGAGCTACATTTGCTCCGTTGTTCGTGGTAAACTTAAAATAAGTTTAAATTTAGTGCCAACTTTTGGTACTTGATAGTTTTTGATACTTGAGGCTATGGAGACATTGTGGTTCATATCAAAGAAGTATCCAGCTTTGATGGTCTTATGTAACATGTGGGGTTAATGCAGCAAACATTGTAATTAGCATGTAGCATATTAGCATTTTCCTTTAAGTGATTGCAGCTCTGACCCTGTCAACCCTTCTGTCTGCCTCTTAGGACGGCGACACCAAGTTCATGCGTGGTGATGAGCTGTACATTCGTCCCTGCGGGTGGAACCGGGCCGCCCTGCGTGTCGTCCAGAAGTACGATGACGGAGACTGCTGGCTCGGTACCGGGAAAGACTCCTGGCCTGTCTCCTACAATGGACACAGCATGGACGGCTCCCTCGGCATCATCCTGACCCGTGGCGGGAACCCCGCTGATGAGCCCGGGTTCCTGGAGGTCGCCGCCAACTCTCTGCTCACTGAGGAAACGAAGGGCAGAGGGGTGTACTCCACGCCGGACATCAAGACGGCGGAGAAGTATTGCAAGAAGTTCAAGTCCAAAGTGGACGGGAAGACGTACAAAGTGGTTCTCCAGAACCGCATCAACCCAAAGAAGAGGGTGAAGTGCCAGAGAGAAGACATCTGGTTAGTCTACGTCCCTGAAGGCTCAAACGATGTCAAGACGAGGGCCATCGTGCAGGAGTCCGTCCGCCCGTACGGGCTGCTTCTGAAGAAGGTGTGACGTGTCTTCAGAGTTATCAGAGGCAGATCAATTCTTCATTATCAACAAAAAAAACCTCATAAAAAATGTTTCACACTCCAGTGAGATCAAGTTAATGCTACTGAAAGCGGTGTTTCAGAGTTTGCTCCAACAACACAACATGGCCTTTTTCTTACATTAAATCAAAAATAATGCTGAGTTCTTTCCATAAAATGGCGACCGTATCCTACTTTACTGTCTCACTGTACTGGGGACTTTATGCTGACCTACTGTACCGTCAGCTGCTTTATTCTGACCCCTCTAGAAATCAGTTTAACTTTAATGAATTTAAATTCTAGAAAATGATAAGAAAATGAATATGGTTTCAACTGTACACTGAACAGCAGCAGTGATCAAACTCGGTTTAGCTCTCAATACGATGTGTTCAAATGTAAGAAAAGACTAGAGTTGTTCCGATACCAGCGTCAGAAATTCCTCCAATACTGCCCAAAATGAGGGTGTCCGATCCAATACCATTTATTTTATTTATAGGGTTTAACCTGAGCCAGCCCATACAACAATGATATAGATCAAACAGGCTTAGTAGTATAAACTTTTAAATAAATAAATATATATCGGATCAGTACTCGGGATCAGCCGATATGCAAAGTTTAGGAATCTGGAAGGAAAAATCTGAACATCTCTAGAAAAGACTGCAGGAAAGAGAAAGCAAGATGCAATCCTCAAACAGGTCTAAGGCCCTTTGCATCTGAAGTTGATTCATGCTGCCATCTAGTGGAATATAATGTGATGAGCAATCTTGTGTCAAAGTAGTGACATTGGATTATTCTAGTTCTCATTTAAAGAGGACAGTTATGGGTTTTTTCTTCTTTGTTGCACAAAATGACACCAATACCTGGTGAAATGATGCGTTTTGAACCCAAACGTGGTTTTATTATTCTAGTCCGCACAAAGGAGGAGTTCTGGAGGAAAATAGGGTTAGAACTCTGGGCTTTAGTGAATGGTGTGATTTAATTGGATTTGACCACTTTGGGAATTGTTGTTATGACGTTTGATTTTCATAGCTTCATTGCTTTTTCTGTCACTTTATAGAATGTGTGTCTTTGTCTCATGGGGTTTATTCCTTATGTTCCATTTTTGTTGTCCATTTCTCTAATATAACTGCAGAAACAGATGTTTTACACCACTGAGATAATTACCGATTCAGTAATTATCTGAGATAATTACTGAATCCTGTTTTCTTTGAATCTCTGGGGAAGGTCAATGTCCTAATTTGTATGAAATAAACATCGTGTACAGATTCTGGTGTGAGGACGTTCTTTATTGTTGCGTCATGTGTTGTTAATGTGTGTTATTATTCTAGTGTTTAACTGGGTGATAGATCATCTCCTCACTCTTATACAGCTGTTTATCAAAGTCAGGGCCACATGTTTTACAAATAATTCTAAAAAAATTTTTTTTTTTAATATATTTGTTAATTAAATAGCAATGAACGTCTTCTAGTTCATCAGACAATGTATACATCTTCTATTGTGGAGTTAATTTTGTTGTATTGAGCTGAAAATGAGACACATCCAAATACATTTGTTACACATTTATACAATTTATAGACAATAGACAAATTTCTTGTCTTGGTGTTTAGAACTTGTCAACATCAGTTTTAAATTTAATGTATTTATTTTAATGATTATCTACTTTTGATGTTATATGGGAGGAAACCGGAGCACCCATGCCAACACGGGGAGTATATAAACTCCATACAGCGAAGATCAAGGCTGGGAATCGAACCCTGACTGCTGCTGCGAGGCCACAGTGTTAAACACTGAGCCGCCGCGTGGCCCGAGACATTTCTCACAGCGGACTTTTTGACTCATCAAACTCAAGTGTAACTGCGTAGATGTGTCAGTGAGCCACATCTAACTGGAACACGTGAACTGATGTAATATGTCAAAATGTCCGCTGTGATAAAGGTCTGTTGATGGCATTCATCTTGAAGGAAAGAAGTTCTTCAGGTCTCTGCCACCGCTACCCTCCTATGGGCTGATATTTGTGTCAGTAGAAACTGAATTTGAATCATTTAGAGCTGAATTGCCCAACTTGAATAATTGCATTAAAAACCTGA